TTGTGGACAGCCTCCCAGAAGAGTTGAAGCTGTTATAGGTGCAGAGGGTGGGCCAACTCAATATTGAACCCTACGAACTAAGACTGAGATATCTGTAAAGTTCATGTGCGTGTAATTATATATATATATATATATATATATATATATACACACACACACACACAGGCCACATGAAGTTTGGAGGTCTTTAGCTATTGACTCAGTAGGCGACTTCTGCACACTGTGTGCTTCAGCATACGCCGACTCTGTTATTTTACGTTTATTTTTTAATTCACTGAGCTCCTGAGACCTTTTCTTTCACAAATGTTTGTAGAAGCAATCTGCATGCCTAGGTGCTCAATTTTATACACCTGTGGCCATAGAGGTGGTTGGAACACTTGAATCCAATGATTTGGAGGGGTGTGCCAATACTTTTAGCAATATTATGTATAATGTATGACCTGTGTACAAATATTCTACTGTGCTGTGACTTTACTTTACCTAGAATGTTGGCTGTCAGTAGACATGGGTCAGCAGTCCAGTAAACTTATTTCATATGTACTTAGGGTGGTCATACACATGTAGGGTTCCCTCTTATAGATTGGGGGTTCGTGCCATATTGAGTTTGCTCCTGCCCCACTTCTAGATGCCACCAATCTGCTTTTGGAGATACTCCACCGTATTTTGTCACACTTGGCTTGAAGCTTACATGCTCACATTCCCTGCCTAAGGTTTATTACACAGAATAAAGGAATGTGTAGCACAAAAGGCTTTTCAATGCTTTACTGCATAATGTCCCTCCAGCACAATTTTTAAGGTCACAGGCACTTTTCAGTACACTTAGCAGCACATGACTCACTGAAAGAAGTCCACAGTGCAGAACACTTTCCTCCTTCTCCTGACTTTCTATGCAGTTGTCCAACAGATCCATGTCTCACAAAACAATTACAGCCATCTTCCCCAGATGGTACAGTTTTTTATCACAGGTTTTACTCATACAGACTCAATCTTCCTCTCATACAGAGCCTCCATAGGCCTAGAGGCAGCTCCAAACCAAGCCACAGAACCTGCTAGGTGAGGGTCAAGTGGGAGTCTTCTTTTTTCTCTGCTCCCAAGTGTCCACACTCACCACCCTGGCAGTTCAGCACTCCAGAGGGCTCTCTATTGCATATCTAGCACAGCACTACATCTTTGGTGATCAAGGGCATCCTGCTCCCATACCTGAAGTGCACTGGGCCCCACTCATAGCTGACATATTAAGGGGCACTATCTCCACCTATTATATCACTACAAGAGGGGCAACAATTAAAGGACACTAACACCTGCCAACTCACAGCCTGATATTCATAAGCAATGTAACTACTTTGAGCATTGCGTGTGATAATCAGACTGTGTAAGCATTAACTTATAAATGATAATGCATTTGGGTTCACTGACAAATGTAACCACCTTCTTCCAGACCCATTACCTGTAGTGGTTTCTCTATTAATACTGTGAATTATAGTTCCAAATGGTCAGTACAAAAATCTGCTCCCAAGGTGGAGTAATATATATATATATATATATTGGCAACAATCAGCGACTTATAGTGGGACTGCGATATTGTGGCAGACAATTGGACACTAACTGACACTAACTGGCACTTTGTGGGAACCAGTGACACGAATAAAATGATCAGTGCTAAACATATGTACTGACACTGTACTAATGCAACTGGCTGGGAAGATGTTAAACATCTAGGATGATCATAGGGTTACCTGTGTGCCTAGGCATGTGTAATGTTTACTGTGTGTGCTGTTTTCCAGCACATCACAGCTGACAGGACACAGTTCGGCCTTGTTTACATAGGCAGAGCTCTGTTCTGTCAGTCTCCTAAACAATCAGCGGGTGCCAGCGCTCATCCATTTTCTGGCATCCACTGATCAGCTTGTGCTGTGGCCAATCACAGCAGAAGCAGCGCGCCAGCGGTGCGCAAGTGCCTCCACGACCAGGAAGTGCAGAATCACGTTTATATACAGTAGATATAAAAAGTCTACACACCCCTGTTAAAATGTCAGGTTTCTGTGAAGTAAAAAAATGAGACAAAGATAAATAATTTCAGAACATTTTCCATCTTTAATGTAACCTATAAACTGTACAACAAACTGAAATCTTTTTGGTGGAGGGAAGTAAAAATAAAAAACTAAAATAATATGGTTGCATAAGTTTTCACACCCTTAAACTAATACTTTCTTGAAGCACCTTTTGATTTTATTCCAGCACTCAGTCGTTTTGGGTATGAGTCTATCAGCATGGCACATCTTGCCTTGGCAATATTTGCCCACTCTTCCTTGCAAAAACACTCCAAATCTGTCAGATTGCGAGGGCATCTCCTGTACACAGCCCTCTTCAGAGCACCCCACAGATTTTCAATCGGATTCAGCTCTGGGCTCTGGCTGGGCCATTCCAAAACTTTATTCTTCTTCTAGTGAAGCCATTCATTTGTTGATTTGGATGTATGCTTTGGGTCATTGTCATGCTGAAAGAGGAAGTTCCTCTTCATGTTCAGCTTTCTAGCAGAAGCCTGAAGGCTTTGTGCCAATATTGACTGGTATTTGGAACTGTTCATAATTCCCTCTACCTTGACTAAGGCCCCAGTTCCAGCTGAAGAAAAACAGCCCCAAAGCATGATGCTGCCACCACCATGCTTCACTGTAGGTATGGTGTTCTTTTGGTGATGTGCAGTGTTGTTTTTGCACCAAACATATCTTTTGGAATTATGGCCAAAAAGTTCAACCTTGGTTTCATCAGTCCATAACACATTTTCCCACATGCTTTTGGGAGACTTCAGATGTGTTTTTGCAAAATGTAGGATGTTTTTTCTTCGCACGAAAAGGCTTCCGTCTTGCCACTCTACCCCATATCCCAGACATATGAAGAATATGGCAGATTGTTGTAACATGTACCACACAGCCAGTACTTACCAGATATTCCTGCAGCTCCTTTAATGTAGCTGTAGGCCTCTTGGCAGCTTCCCAGACCAGTTTTCTTCTCATCTTTTCATCGAATTTGGAGGGACGTCCAGTTCTTGGTAATGTCACTGTTATGCCATATTTTCTCCATTTGATGATGACTGTGTTCGCTGTGTTCCATGGTATGTCTAGTGCCTTGGAGATCGCTCTGATGCTTTGGAAGCTCTCTGCAGATCATGGCTTTTGCTGTAGGATGTGACTAAGAAAATGTCAGGAAAGACCTTCTAGGACAGCTGAACTTTATTTGTGGTTAATCAGAGGCACTTTAAATGATGTCAGGTGTGTACTGACTCCTATTTAACATGATTTTGAATGTGATTGCTTAATTCGGAACACAGCTGTAACCACATTATTTTAGTTTTTTTCAGTTTGTTTTTCAATTGAGTTGTACAGTTTATAGGTCACATAAAAGGTGGAAAAAGATCTGAAATTATTTATCTTTGTCTCATTTTTTTACAACACAGATATCTGACTTTTAACAGGGGTGTGTAGACTTTTTATATTCACTGTACATGATTCTGCACAGCCTGACCGCCAAGTACATCTGCTATGGGGTGGTCGGCAAATGGTTAATAGGAAAACATAATTAAACAAGCTGGCATAGAGAAGTATTTTGTAAAATGTCAGACCAGTAGGACTGCAATGAATGGTGTCACAATGTTAAGTCCAAAAAATTCACAAAGTAACTTCACTTTTGTGAACAATATAGCAGTTTGTTTTAAAAATGGAATATACAATTTCTACACAAGCTATATTTTAATTTAATGTTATTAGAAAAAAACTGCAGCACTGTGATTCTCAGTAAAGTTCAATGCAATCTGGCAACCTGGAGGCAGTCTGTACACAATCAGTGCATAACACCTCCAGAAATGTAATATCCTACTTGTGTGAAGAATTCTGCACTACAATGCAAGTCAAGTTTAAAGTGTTACTAAACCCACAACAGTAGAATCAGTCTGTATATGCAGTAATGCATGCCTGTTATACTCATTGAGGAACTTAAGGGGTTAAACCTCTGCATTGTGTAAAAACACTGTTTGATCCTGACCTCTATGATCCTCCCCTTCTTCCAGTGCCCCCTCTTATCTTCTGAGAAGATATATCATGTGGAGTCACTCTGCACATGCTCAGTTTAGTGTGTATTGCTGAAGAGTTTTTTTTTTCTTGGGAGAGTACATGTGATCAGCACAGGGCCAAACAGCACTGTCCAGACAGAGGTCAGGGGTCCTGCATCCTCATAAAGCAGAATGAAAACTCCTCCTACAAGCTTTAACAGGTTTTTTGCCTGGACACTGATAGAAGTCACAAAACTGCTCTAACTGCTGATGAGAAAAGGTATTTAGCAGTTTATATTTACTAAAATAATTGCATTTTCATGTTGTGTGTACTGTGGGAAACCAGATATAATGAATGCAGGGTCCTGGGTTTTGTAACACTTTAAGTTTATCCTCTGGAAAAAAAAAAATAGATTTTAGTGAGATACTCCCTAAGGTTAATAATTTCTAAAGCGTTGCAGACACTGCAAGTTTTCTCGTCAGACCATTTAGGCCTCACGCACACTCGGCGTTTCAAAAACGCTGGTAGAGTTAGCTGTGTAAAGTTGCATTAAAGCGCAAGTTTTTCCACAGTTTTTATTGTTTTTGCATTAGTGTTTAGCAGCGTTTACCAGCATTAGAGCTTTTATACAGCTAAAAGACTCCTCTTGAAACCCACTAGTTCTGGGGGGTTTCCAGCCAGAAAACACCACTGCCAGAAGCCAAAAACAGCAGCTGTAAAAATGTCCAGTGTGCATGAGGCTTTAAAGTGCATCAGCTGATTAAACAAAGAAGTCATTCCCATTTAGAATCACTGTGCACAGGATATTACCTAACAAAAAGCTAATCCTTCACAGCAGAAACAGGTAGGACTCTGCAGCAAAATGTGCTAAAATCTTCACATTACACATTGATTACCCAGAGGGGATTGTTTTTTCTTTCCTTAACAGAAGTGGAGTTACTCTTTAAAGTGTTACTAAACCCACAACAGTACAATCAGCCTATATATGCAGGAAAGCATGCTTCTTATACTCACTGTGGAACCTAAGGGGTTAATCCTCTCTATTGTGTAAAAATGCTGTTTGATCCTGACTTCTCTGATCCTCCCCTTTTTCCAGTGTCCCCCCTTATCTCCTGATGAGACATATCATGTGGAGGCACTCTGCACATGCTCAGTTTGGTGTGTATTGCTAGAGATGTTTTTTGGGGGTTTTTTCATGGGAGAGTGCATGTGATCAGCACAGGGCCAATCAACAAGGTCAGGTGTTCTGCACCTTCCTAGAACAGGAAGAAAACTCCTCCTACAAGCTTTAACCAGTACTCTGTTGGACACTGATAGAAGTCACAAGACAGCTCTAACTGTTGATGAGAAAAGCAATTTATATTTACTAAAATAATTCCACTTCCATGTTCTGTGTACTGTGGGAGACCAGATATAGTGAATGTAGGCTCCTGGGTTTAGTAACGCTTTAAGGATGGCAGCATGTTAGCAAATGGTTTTAAGATGTACAATACCACCATGGTAGCATATCTCGTGGATATGTGTGCATCCAAACAAAGAATTAAATGGATGAAATGTACTGTATGTAGACTTATGAACACATTTGTTGTTACAAAAAATGAGCTGTTTACTGCTAGAAAGACAGAAGAAAGTAAAACGTCCAGCAAACAGCTAAATACACAGTTCAAGCACTTCAGATGACTGGATTGTTTACAATGCACAATTCAGTGTAGGCTATCACTGACTGTGTGCAGGCATGCTTCCATTTAGATTGCGCAAGGCTTCCCCAGCAGCTGGTGACATCAGGGCTGGGAGTGAGAGTTGCTGAGACTATTTGCACAGAAAGCCTCTGATGATCCCGGAGTTTCAGAAGGTGGCAGAAAATAGAAAAGCCACCAGTAACTGCTCAGCACCTACTTTAATAGATATGCTGTACCTGAGCTCAACGTATCTTGGTGGCAGGGTCAAATAAAAGGGTAAAGGCTTGGTCATACTACCCCCAAAGATAAATTACTTCTTTTCTTGTGTTGGCTAGTTCTCCACTGTGTTCTTGCTTTGGGGGTGGTGCCTTGTGGTTTACAATGCAGGCCACAGTTTACCTTTGTTTTTTGTTTTTTTTATTTTATTTTATATAGCACACCCCCTAAGAATTCATTGGTTTGACGAACCCTTTAAAACTTAGTCCCTTTCTTTGGATAGCGGGCCTCCGCCACTCTTACCTCTCTGACACACCCCCTATACTGAATGAACAACACCAGATTAGGTAAATGCTATCTGTATTGATAGTAAATTGGTTAAATGTAACAAAGTAATACAGACTGTAACCAAAATAATATATCAAAAACTCCTACACAGAGTACTTCTTTACCAGGTCTGTGTGGAAGAAACATTGCTACATGTAACGGGGCCCGGGTTCTTTTTTACCAACCAGCTTAAACAGAGCTACCCAGGGTTATATAAGGGCAGCCAGCCAGAAACTGATAGTATAAATCCCCAGAGGCTATGCTGTCTTTAGGCCCTGAGGGTGACTCTGTCTAGTCCCAGTCTACCTGCAGGACTTTAGTGTTCAGTAAGGTGGAGAATTTCTAAAGTCTAGGCAAACATTGTTAGACAGGGAGGGATATCCTCCAAAAAAGTAGTTATTTCTTCAGGCAGGGTTGAGGCCCCTTTGGTGGTGCACTAATGATGGTGGTAATTGGCTTCCTGATACCCCCACCCAGTTTAGGTGAGGGAGGAAACTTAAAGAAGAGTTTCTGGTAGAAGAAATGCAAGCAGGGCTCATTAGTAATGGGAATGACAGTGACAATGTAGAAAGTAAGTTATTTGGGTAATCCAAAGCAGGTGGTATGGTACTTATTGGTTATATGCAACATAAGCACTTTAGTGTCTAAGAGGTTGGGTGGAAAACTGTGTTAACCGGAGTCTTGCTCTGTTCTGTGATGCAAAGTGTGGGATGGATTGGCAACCCTATCACCAATCCTGCGCTTCAGTTGTGGGTATCAATGGTGGAAGGGGCCCCTCATTGATCCACTTTTTGCTCCACTCCTCCTCCTGGTCCACATGGCTCCCTGGGGGTTATAGTGTCCTGACCTATAAGATGCAGTGCTGTTTGTACGCAGTGAAACTACATCTCCCATAATCCTTTGCTTAACAATTCCTCCTCCCTCCAGTCTGAGTTCAGCCAATCCAGGGCCATTGAAAGTCAATGGAGCATAGCTTCCAAACATGTTGGGACTTGTTGCCCCACAATGATAACTCTAAAAAAGTGTGTGTCCTTATCTTATTTTCACCATGAAGGAAATCTTGTGCCAACCCCGGCTACATTTATTTAAATATCACAGAGGGACATTTTACTCATTTCTATGCACAGCAGCTCAGCTGTGGTGCATAGAAAAGGACAAAGAAAAAGAAACTTTACCACAGCTTTGGTCTGTGGCAGAAAAAATCATAGAGCTTATATTTTCCTGAACAACACTACTGTGCACAGAGGGCTCTCATGTATATAGAGCACATATAAAGCAATTGTTTTTGTGAATGATTCCTAAGAGTACTTCTCAGACAAAAAAAATTTCAAGCCCTCTGTCTGTTTATAGGATAACTTTAACCGTTTCCCACCCGGCCTATTGCTAATGGCAGCCAACCGGGAGCTCTCCCATCCTTGGTGGACCTCATATGATACCATCCTAATCACGTGCCCTGTGCACGGCCTAACGGTCAAGGCTGAGGGGCTATCTGTCACTTGTTGTTTCCATAGAACACAGCAAATGACAGATTGGTATACCTGGTTGATCCTGGTACCATGTAACTACTGTGACCAATCATGCAATCACAGTAGTCACAAGACATTTGTAAAAAATAAATGGCTTTCATTCATAGCCATTCATTGTGTACTTTTGTGATGAGCTCTGTGATTTGTCAATTACAGCATATCTGTAACATGTGACAGCTGTGGCCGATCATAGCTAATCACGATACTACTCAACAAATGGCTGTGAATGAATGGATTCCGTTCATAAATATGACTGCTTATAACAGTGATCAACACTGTTAAAAGCAATTATAGTGTAAAAAGAAAAATAATGATCACCTCCCCAGTGTCACTATGGTAACAACTGCACTGCTCTGGTCACAGTATGTAAAAAAATGGCAAAGAAAAAGAAAGAAAAATTGTAAAAAAAAAAAAAAAAAAGAAAAAGAAAGAAAAAATGTTTAAAAAAGTTTTGAAAAAAAAAAGTTTTTTTTGGGGGGGCTTTTACATACTGTTAGCGGTCAGTATCCCTGATTGCAGCCACACCAATCATATGATGATGTACTTCACTGGTGACAGTAAAAAAGAAAAAAAAAACACATTTTATTTAATTTCTTCATTTTCCAAAAATATTGTGAAAAAAAATACTACTTCAAAAAAGTTGTCATGCCTATTACCAAATATCTTTGACTATTTTCCAAAAAGAGGTAATTTGGATTCTTTAATTTTCAAATAGCGTATACTGTATATACCATAATTTGTAGATTCTATATCTTTCACATAGACTAAATTATATATACTGATTTGGGTGTTTTTTACCAAAGAAATGAAGCATTTACATTTTGGCCTAAATTTATGAAGAAGGATTATTTATTTACAAAAATGTATGACAGAAACAAAGGGTACAGTGTTGCATGACTGAGTATTTGGCATTCAAAGAGTGAGAGCGCTGGCTGGCTGGGCTGACCTACAGTAGGTGGATTTGTGTATTTTTTTCAACCAGACTAACTATATAACTATGTAAAATTACATCAAAAAGATGATACAGTATGTAATGTGCTCCTTCATATTTTAGCCTTGTGCACCAAAATCTGCTATAAAAGTAGCAAAAGTGTGCCTGTTTGTTGAACGGGCAGAGTAAAGAAGGGCATGTCACTAAAGCAGTGGCAAGCACAGAAGTTCACATTGATACAGTGGTGGCAAGAGCGGAGGCGAGTATCGGTGAGTGAAGTTGGGGCATGTGGGAAAAGTGGTTATAGCAGGGGTGAAGGATGGAAGTCGGATGCAATAGTGAGAATGAGGTTTCGAGTTCAGGCCTAGTATGGGAGGAGAACAAGTTAAGTTGTGAAGCTGTCAGCTATAGTTCCAGATGCTGGCAGCAGTCCTTTTGGCCAGCAGCAGAGGTCAGATGGGCAGGCTGGTGGTTTGAGCTGTCAGGCTATAGATTACAGTATCTGTGTCAACCACAGCAGAGGCTGGTGGGAAGAGTGATAATGTGAGCTGATGGGCAGAAATAAGAAGCTCATCTCTCATCTCAACACAAACTTACTTGCTGCATGCATGACCTTGGATGTGCCCCTGTTGAGTATGGCTGTTGTGGATAGCACTGGTCTACATTTAAATATCAATGCTTTTATGCTTGTGTGGTAGTGAGTTTGGGGGAAAAGTGAAAATGGCAGGCAATAATAACTAATAACTTATTTGCAGAAGAACACCATAGATTTCTATGGAACAGAGCGATAGATTGGTCTCCCAGCCCTAATAAGTCTATGAAGTTCTGCTGTATACACAGATAGTGGGAAAGAGAGGACAGATTGGCAGCAGGTAATCATTGCAGAAGAATGCAGAAAAAAACAACTCAAAACGGTAAAATACAGACATTACTGGTACCAAGGAAGACAGACTTTAAAAGAGACAACATCCACATCACTTGTCTAGTGTAATCCAAGAGGTCAACACGTTTCACAAAACATGCTTCTTCAGGACCTTATTTCTTGGTGACAGAGATGAATGACCTATCTGAGAAATAGAACATATTATAATATCATGTATGATATACAGTACATACACTATATTGCCAAAAGTATTCGGATGTCTGCCTTTACATGCACATGAAGTTTTATGGCATCCTAGTTTTAGTCCGAAGAGTTCAGTATTGAGTTGGCCCACCCTTTACAGCTATAACAGCTTCAACTGTTCTGGGAAGACACAAGACACAAGCTTTAGGAGTGTGTCTATGGGAATGTTTGACAATTCTTCCAGAAGCGTATTTGTGAGGTCAGGCACTGATGTCGGGTAAGAAGGCCTGGCTCGCAGTCTCCACTCTAATTCATAAAATGGTGTTCTATTGGGTTGAGGTCAGGACTCTGTGCAGGCCAGTCAAGTTCCTCCACCCCAAACTCACTCACCCATGTCTTTATGAACCTTAGATTACCAGACAGAGAAGCGTGATTCGTCACTCCAGAGAAAATGTCCCCACTGAGTCCAGTGACAGCGTGCTTTATATCACTGTATCCGATGCTTTTCATTGCACTTGGTGATGTAAGGCTTGGATGCAGCTGCTCGGCCATGGAAACCCATTCCATGAAGCTCACTATGCACTGTTGTTGTGCTAATCTGAAGGCCACACAAAGTTTGGAGGTCTTTAGCTACTGACTCTGCAGACAGTTGGCGACTTCTGCTCACTTCTCGCTCT